CCGTCACGTTGGGCTCGGCGGATCCCGCCACTGCGTGCCACCAGGCCCGCGGCAGGTACAGCACCTCTCGGCGGAGCGCGCGAGGAGGGGGGGGGGGGTCGAGGGGGGCGGCCTGCGCCTCGGGGGACGTCAGTGTGTGACTACCTACCAGACCACCCCAACCCAACCCGAAGACCCGAATTTCGGGTTGGGGGGGGTAAGGGTTCCACATGTGTTTTTCGATGTTTCCCGACCCCCCCCCCACTGGAAATCGAGGGTACATCTGAGCCTTCGGGTTGGGTTGGGGTGGTTTGGTGGGACGTCTGTGTGATGACTTGTCAAGCTAATATGCGTGCGCCCAAGCCCGACTTCTAGGAAGGGCTGTGCTTCTTGAGTACACTACCGGCCCAGGCTCCGCCTGGTCCTGTGGTGATGCATAAGTTTCTATGGGCTTCCGACCAGCCCACCCGTGAGCCCTCTTCCTTACCCCCCAATGACCGCCCGCCCCCCAATGACCGCCCGCCCGAAAAGAGCGGCGGAGGCCTCGGCTCTTGGCCTCTTCCGGCTCCAGGGGGGGCCCTCGCCGGGCTCCGGGACCGTCACAGAAGAGCCCGAGAGACAAGAATCGGCCCTGGGGACTGCGCCGAGGCCTCCGGGCCTCCAGGGACTGCGCACGGCACGGAGCTGAAGCGCAAGCCGTCGCGCACGTCCAGGAACCGGCCACCCCGCCGGCCCTGGCCGGGCTGGGCAGGGGCTGGAGCCTCCACGCCTCCCGAGCCGAGCCAGGAGGGCGTCGGGTGCACCGAGGAGGGGGGCCAGGAAGAAGGGGGTTTGCGCATCACGGATGAGGTTGGATCGGGCATATCCTCCTACAGGCGGATCTTGATTTGGAAGGGAAACGAAAAATAGTTGGAACAAATATCCCAAAAGCATCAAAAAGATACTGGAGAAACCGTCCCCCGACTATTTTTGACTATTTTTGAGCAGTCCTCATGTAGGGGGGCATGGCCGCCTCAAGATTGGCGCATCGCGGCGCGAGGCGTGTGCGCCGCGGACGACGGGAGGTGGGGCGTGCTGAGAGAAGAACATGACAGCGAGAGCGAAAGTCCCAGGACGTCTCGTCCCGCTTGTGGAAGGAGGAGGAGGAGGAGGAGGAGGAGGAGGGAGGAGGGAGGAGGAGGAGGAGGAGGAGGAGGGAGGAGGAGGAGGAGGAGGGAGGGTAGGAGGGAGGGGAGGGAGGAGGAGGGAGGAGGAGGGACGAGGAGGGAGGAGGAGGGAGGAGGAGGGGAGGAGGAGGGAGGAGGGGGAGGAGGAGGGAGGAGAGGGCGCGAGGTAGGGAGGAGGAGGGAGGAGGGAGGAGGAGGAGGAGGGAGGAGGAGGGAGGAGGAGGAGGAGGAGGAGGAGGAGGAGGAGGAGGCACCACTCACTCGGCAACAAGAAAAATACCACCTGGGAGTTTCCACGGCTCCGGCCCTGGCCCCCAGGCCTCGTCCTCGCCACCTTCGTCTAAGCTCCCGGGGAAGGTTCGAGAGAGGGGGGGGCGGCCTCCTGAGGAGCCGGGAGGGCTTCTCAACAGGCAGAGGACCTCTCGCAGGCCATCCTCAGGGCGAGCATGACGTCATGATGAGATTGGCTCAGGATATGGTCCAGGATTTCCAGAATATCTAGCGGCCCTCGTTTTTGCAGCGGGTGTGGAACATGAGGATACATATATAGAAAATCCTGAAAACCTTGGAAATACTGGACCGTGTATGATCATGACCTCTTGCTCCTCGGACTCCTTGCTCCTGATCGAAGCGGCGGGGGGGTGAGAGCGCAGCGGAACGAAGAGCGCCCCACCAGGAAGGCTTCGGTCCCATGCTCACGTCGTGCGCGCGGGCGAGGCGAAGCTGCGCGGGCGCGCGAGAGGAGCGGCCCCCGCCGTCGCTGGGGCGCTGCGGGTGCGGTGGGCGGCCCCTGCGCCCCCCGTGTGGGCGCGCGGTGGCCCAGGGGTGTGCCACCGTGGTGTCCCGTCGGTGTCCCGTCGGTGTGGTGGCCGGGGGTGTCCGCCTCAGTATCTACAGTGAGGTCGGCAGTGAGGTCGCTGGTGAGATCGCTAGCACGGGATGGATGGTGAGATAAAAAGTGAGCTCGACGGCGAGGCTATTGGTAGTGAGAAAGACGGCGGGGATTATGGTGATGACATGACATCGCAGCGCAGCATCGTCATCACGCGCCGTCGCTAACTCGAGGGCGCGTCACCAGCATCGTCACCATCACACCCATCGCACTTGCCAGCAGTTGCTTCTTCCCCGCCACCACCCAGCCTCCTTCTCACCCGAAGGGTGGTCGTACAGGCAAGACTTCTTGAAAAGCCCCAGGGCCACTCTGAGAAGGCCTCAGCCTCCTCAGAGAAGCCCCCCGCCTTTTCGGAAGGCGGCCCCCCTCGGGCTGCCCCCTCTGTTGAGGGGCAACGTGCCCCTCTCGGCGTCGCTCGGGCGTGGGCGTTTTTTGGTTTTGTTTTCTCCTCGGCGAGGGCCACGGAGGGGGGGTAGGAGGAGGAGGAGGAGGAGGAGGAGGAGGAGGAGGGAGGGAGGAGCGAGGCAGGAGGAGGAGGAGTGAGGCGGCCAGGAGGAGGAGGAGGAGGCGGAGCCGAAGGAGGAGGAGGGGAGGAGGGGGGAGGGAGGGAGGGGGGAGGGAGGGAGGGAGGGATGGTAGGGAGGGAGGAGGGGAGAGGGAGGGGGGAGGGAGGGAGGGAGGAGGGAGGGGGAGGAGGAGGAGGAGGAGGCGGAGGAGGCGGAGGAGGGAGGAAGAGGAGGGAGGAGGAGGAGGAGGACAGGAGGAGGAGGAGGAGGAGGAGGAGGAGGAGGGGGAGGGGGAGGAGGAGGAGGAGAAGGAGGAGGGGGAGGGGGAGGTCAAGGGGGGATCGACTCAGAGGGGGGACCATCGACCCGGAAGCGACGACACATCGCCGATGGGTCGGCGATTGGTCCCCCGATAACAGGTCCGCGAGGTCCCGGACGGGGCGGGCCGAGGGGCCCCGAGTTGCCAGCGGTCCCTGGGCGAGTGGGGGTCGACGCATCCCCCCCTGATTGAGAAAAGGATCGGGTGGCAAGTGGCTTCCCCAGAGGGAATCCCCGAAGTAAGGGCTTTCTTTCCCAAACGCTTCCCAGGCGGGCGCGGGAAATGTTTGTGCCCGACGTTGCGCCGACACGGCCAGAAGGTTCCGCAGCGCGATATAATATCTTAAGCGCTTTAATGGGAGTGGCAGGTCGCGTGGGCTCTGGCTCGCACGATCCGCAGGGGGGTGACAGGCTCAGGGGGCCTCTGAGCCTGTCACCCCCCTGCGGACGGTTACGTCGGGCACCTCCCTCTACAGGAGGAATACCCGAAAAGAGTCGAAAAATGATATCGGGACGATTGGTTGATTGTGTGCTGGATATGTTGGAGCATGTTTGGGAGAAAAAGGAAACATCCAAAACCCGCCTGTAGGAGGACACGCCCCACCTAACCTTAGGTCGGGACTGTCCCCATACAGGCGGGCGAAAATATATGTAAAAACAAACTCAATAACAAAACAAAAGAGTTCAAAACAATCAAATAAGAACTAAAAGCAACAAGTCATCTTTATATATACTATAGAATTATTGCTAAGACATGCTAATAATAATGGCACTAAAGACAACAATGCTACTACTACTACTACTACTACTACTACTACTACTACTACTACTACTACTACTACTACTACTACTACTACTACTACTACTACTACTACTAATACTACTGCTACTACTACTACTACTACTACTACTACTACTACTACTACTACTACTACTACTACTACTACTACTACTACTACTACTACTACTACTACTACTACTACTACTACTACTACTACTACTACTACTACTACTACTACTACTACTTACTACTTACTACTACTACTACTACTACTACTACTACTACTACTACTACTACTACTACTACTACTACTACTACTACTACTACGAATGATGGTATTGACAATAGTAAGAATAACCATAAGAAGAAGAATTGTAGTAGTAATGCTAATAATAAGGATGAAGATAATGATACAATGATGATAATAAAGATAATGATAATGAGGAACACAGCACGAAATACGAATAATAATAATAATCATAAAGAAGAACAACATAAAAAAAAAAAAAAAAAAAAAAAAAAAAAAAAAAAAAAAAAAAAAAAAAAAAAAAAAAAAAAAAAAAAAAAAAAAAAAAAAAAAAAAAAAAAAAAAAAAAACGTCCCCTGCCTATGTTTTGACGATCCGTGAACTATGCCCCTGTAGGGGGGACAACCTGAAGATAGAAAAAAAAATCAAAAACACAAAAAAATGACTACTTGGGCGTATCCTAAAATGATTGGTAACGCTTCGCCCAGAACCCCCCCATGGGACGCGCCCGACCCGACCTGAGCCTGTCGCCCCCTCTGCGGACGGGAACCTCTGCCCAGAGCCTCACGGGCGGCGGGGCCCCGGCGACACGCCCGTGCCCTGCAGGCGGGTGACGTGCCGCTCCGCCCTGCGGGGCGTGAGGCCGGGAGGGGCTCGGGGGCGCTGCCGCGCGGCGACCGGGGCGGTGCACGGGGCGTGTCGCTCCGAGGCGCGGTGTCAGGTCGGGCCCGTCCCCCATACAGGCGGACTTTTGGACGAAAAGTAACAACAAAAATATTGCAAAAATATTCAGACATGGTAGAAAATCGCCCCCAAGGACTAATTTTTAAACTAAGTTTGGACATTCCCCCTGCAGAGGGACAGGCCCGACGTGCGCGTGGTGGGCCAGAGCGAAAAGCGGAGAGGCACGCCGAGCCACAGCTCCAGAGACCGCAGACGTGGCCCCCGCTTCTGCGCGCGCCGCCGCGCCTCGCCCGCCCGCACCGTGACGTCCACCGCCGCGGGGCGGCGCGGCAGCAGCGACGCCAGCGCTCCCAGCGCCCCGCCGGCCTCCTCCGCGGCCGCCGCCGCCGCGCCCAGGGGCGGCGGCAGCGCCGGCTGCGGCAGCGCCCAGGCGTCCAGGTCGGAGTACACGGCCGGCACGATGCCAGACGAAGAAAAAACGCCACAAGCATGGAAACTGTTGGCGCTCCGCGGGGGGGTCCTGGATCTGCGCTGGGCCCCCCTCCCTCTGGCGCGCGCAGCGCGCCAGGGGCGGCGCCGGAGGCGCCGCCAGGGGCCCCCAGCGCGGATCCAAGAAATCCGCGCGGAGCGCCAAAAGCTTATGTTTATGGCGTTGTTTCTTCTTCGAGATGCCCCGCAGCCAGCAGAAGGCCGCCGGCAGCGCCCCCCCGCGCGGGCGCAGGCGCCGCGAGGCGGCGGGGGGGAAGAGCCGGAAGCGCTTCGAGCCCTGCAGCACGGCCTGCGGCGGCGCGGGCTCTGTGCACAGCCACTGACAACCTACCAGACCACCCCAACCCAACCCGAAGACCCGAATTTCGGGCGGGGGGGGGTACGGGTTCCAGATGTGTTTTCTCAATGCTACCCCCAGCCCCCCCCCCCGCCTACTTGAAATGGAGGGCAAATTGAGGCCCTTGGGTTGGGTTGGGGTGGTTTGGTGGGTGGTGTCCCGTCTCGCGCTGGCTCCGTGTTCCCCAGGAGGAGGAGGACGAGGAGGAGGACGAGGAGGAGGAGAAGAAGAGGGAGGAGGAGGAGGAGGAGGAGGAGGAGGAGGAGGGAGGAGGAGGAGGAGGAGGAGGAGGAGGGAAGAGGAGGAGGAGGAGGCGAGGAGGCGGAGGAGGAGGAGAGGAGGAGAGGAGGAGGAGGAGGAGGAGGAGAAGGAGAGGGAGGAGGAGGGAGGAGGAGGAGGAGGAGGAGGAGGAGGAGGAGGGAATAGGAGAGGAAGGAGGAGGAGGAGGAGGACGAGGAGGAGGAGGAGGAGAGGGGAGGAGGAGGAGGAGGAGGAGGACGAGGAGGAGGAGGGGGAGGAGGAGGGAGGAATAGGAGGAGGAGGAGGAGGAGGGGAGAGGCGGACGAGGAGGAGGAGAGGAGAGTGGAGGAGGGAGGAGGAGAACAGAAGAAGAGGGAGGAGGAGGAAGGCAGGAGGGGAGGAGGAGGAGGAGGAGGAGGAGGAGGAGGAGGAGGAGGAGGAAGCACCGACCACCTGCTGTGAGCCACGGCCCCCTGGCTGGGCCCAGCCCTGGGCCCGGGGCGCGGCGCACACAGCGCTCCCCCGCCTCGGCCAGGGAGGCAGGTGCGGCGCCCCTGGGCCCAGGGGGGGGCCTGGCCAGGCGCAGGGGCTGCCTACACTGCAGTGGAGGCCAGCCCACCAGAAACCTTCCAGAGACCCAAGCCCCCGAGGCCCCAGGGCGTCCCTCGATTTTTGGTGTGGGCACGTCACGCTCTCCATGGCGAGACCATCGAAACCCAAGAAATGGCCAGGGCACCCTGGAGGAGGCAAGCAGGGCGTTTCTTGGCAGGGGCCTCCACTGCATGGGGAAAGCGGAAAGGTATACCCATACCGCGACTCCCCAGACCCATCCCAGGGCGCGCTCTGACCAGCATGTCGAGGAGGATGGAATCCAGCCGTGGCGACGAGGGCTCTCCAGGACCCTCACATCCGACGCTGCGAAAAAGAGTCGCAACATCGTAAAAAATCGCGGCTGCAGCCCCAGACCCCATTTTTGTTTCGGCATTTTTCGATCTGGAGGATCCCGGGCCCGAGAATCCGTCGAAAGCACCCGTTTTGAAAAAATTGCAGGGCCAAGATCCAAGGGGACGAGCAGCGGTGTTGATGCGAAATGAACCCCACCCTCCCACTCAGAAATCGTGGGGGGTAGGGGTAGGGTTCGCATGTGGCCCCCTAACTTTTCTTCCTCTGAGCACAGATCTCGTCGCCCGACGGCCGTCATGTTCTCGGTGGGGTCGAAGTGCAGGGGCGTGCGCTGGTCGCCGGCGCCCAGGTACAGCGCCGGAGAGCCTGGCACGGCGGGGCCGAAGAGTCCCGCGGTCTGCGCCGCGACCAGCTCGGCCAGGGGCTGGACGAGCAGGCGGCCACATGTGAGCCCCACCCCGCTTCGGTCGCAGATCGTGGGAGCCTGGTCCACCCCCTGAATGCCGACTTTGGCGTCGACTAGCGTCGATTAGCGTCTTGGGGAGTCGATGAGGCAGCGCCGATTTAGCGTCGGCCAGCGTCGGTCGTCGCTTCAGCGTCGATTAACGTCGATTCGCAGGAGCCGACAAGATGATATGGGCCACATGTGAGCCCTACCACCACCCCGCACGATTTTTACGGGGGGGGCGGGGGGGGGGCACTCCGCTTGGGAGCTCCCGAACGAAGTGATCCCCCACCCCGCCTCAGAAATCGTGGGGGGGGGGGGGGCTTTCGGTGGCAATTCATGGGACCCTCCCATGCCATCTTGTCGGCTCTTGCGAATCGACGTTAGTCGACGCTACATCATCGCTAATCGACGCTAAATCGACGCGAAATCGACGTTAACTGACGCTAGCCGAAGCTAAATCGGCGCTGCCTCATCGACTCCCAGACGCTGATCGACGCTAGTCGACGCCAAAGTCGGCAGTAAGGGGGTGAACCAGGCTCTCACGAGTTGCTACCGAAGTGGGGTAGGGTTCTCGACTACACGCAAGGATGACCCTGGGTAAGAGCGACCTTTGGTGCGCGGCTTCATGGGGGACGCGGGGTGGCCAAACCCGGGCGCGCAAAAGCCGCCGCCAAGACCTCGCGCTCGGCGATCGGGGGGCCCCGTTTGGCCCGCACCAGAGGTCACTCCAGCGAAAGGTCACTCTGACGTTTATCGGAGGAGGGCAACGTGAGACAACGGCCGTGAGACAACGGTGGCCAAATCGGCTCAAAATCGGACCCCGGACCCCTCCCGGGGTCCAAACGCACCGATTTTTCACGCTGCGTCCAGCCGTGGCGACGAGGAGGCCCCTCGGAGGCGAAAAAGGCAAAAACGTCACCCTTGTCTCACCCTGCCCCCTCTGACGTTTAGCCGAGGCTCACACGTGGCCACCGCATGAGCCCGGCGAGCTCGGGGAGCGACGCCTCGATCGGCACGTTGGCCGCGTAGCAGCCGAGGGGGCGCGCGGGCGGCGGCGCCTCGCCGGAGCCGCGGGCCGGCGCGCTGCCGCCCGCCTGGCTCACCGCGTCGATGACGCGGTCGAAGCGCCAGCGCTCTGGAGGCTCCGCGTTTGGTTTCCACCTCCTCCTCCTCCTCCTCCTCCTCCTCCTCCTCTCCTCCTCATCCTCCTCGCTCCTCCCTCCTCCGTCCTCCTCCTCCTCCTCCTCCCTCCTCCTCTCCTCCTCCTTCTCCTCCTCCTCCTCCTCCTCCTCCTCCTCCTGCTCCCTCCTCCTCCTCCTCTGCTCCTCCTCCTGCTCCTCCTCCTCCTCCTCTCCTCCTCCTCCTCCTCCTCCTCCTCCTCCTCCGCCTCCTCGCTCCGCCCTCGTCGTTTCGGATGCTGCTGGACTTCAGCGGGGGTGGGCGCGGCGGGAACAGAGGGCGAGAGGCGCGTGATGCAAAATCATCCCAGTGCGACCCTACCTAGGAGTTGGAACCCCTAGGAAAGCAGCATTAGTAGTAACAGTAACGCTAAGTTAAAGCTAAGCTAAAACTAAGCTAAAGCTAAGCTAAAGCTAAGCTAAAGATAAGCTAAAGCTAAGCTAAAGCTAAGCTAAAGCTAAGCTAAAGCTAAGCTAAAGCTAAGCTAAAGCTAAGCTAAAGCTAAGCTAAAGCTGAGCAACAGCTAAGCTAAAGCTAAGCTAAAAGCTAAAGCTAAGCTAAAGCTAAGCTAAAGCTAAGCTAAAGCTAAGCTAAAGCTAAGCTAAAGCTAAGCTAGCTAAGCTAAGCTAAGCTAAGCTAAGCTAAAACTAAGCTAAAGCTAAGCGAAAAGCTAAGCTAAAGCTAAGCTAAAGCTAAGCTAAAGCTAAGCTAAAGCTAAGCTAAAGCTAAGCTAAGCTAAGCTAAAGCTAAGCTAAAGCTAAGCTAAAGCTAAGCTAAAGCTAAGCTAAAGCTAGCAACAGCTAAGCTAAAGCTAAGCTACAGCTAAGCTAAAGATAAGCTAAAGCTAAGGCTAAAGCTAAGCTAAAGCTAAGCTAAAGCTAAGCTACAGCTAAGCTACAGCTAAGCTCAAAGCTAAGCTAAGCGCTAAGCGAAAAGCTAAGCGAAACGCTAAGCTAAAGCTAAGCTAAGCTAAGCTAAAGCTGAGCAACAGCTAAGCTAAAGCTAAGCTACAGCTAAGCTAAAGATAAGCTAAAGCTAAACTAAAGCTAAGCTAAAGCTAAGCTAAAGCTAAGCTAAAGCTACGCTTAGCTAAGCTACAGCTAAGCTAAGAAAGCTAAGCAAAGCTAAGCTAAACGCTAAAGCTAAAGCTAAGCTAAACTAAGAAAAAACGCTAAGCGAAAAAGCTAAGCGAAACGCTAAGCTAAAGCTAAGCTACAGCTAAGCTAAAGCTAAGCTAAAGCTAAAGCTAAAGCTAAAGCTCCCAGGGGACTGGGGGGAACCGCGGGGCGGGGACCGGGGGAACCGCCCGGGGCGCTTTCCATTGCCCGGCCCCTTTAAGCTAAGAGAGTAAGAACCCTTCTAGGCAGAGCCTAGGTAGGAAATTCTACAAAATTGCATTGGCGCGTCGCGCCGTTCAGATGGGTACTGGGAGTTTCGCACACAGGCGGAATGAGAAAGAAAGGACGATCGGGAAAGAGAGAGAGAGAGAACCCTGATGGCCGAATGCCCAGGGGGCACCAGCAGCCTCCCCCCCCCACTCCCCCCCCCAAAAAAAACGAAAAACAAAAAGAAGAAAGGCAACAAAAATACCCCTCCCACACAAAAAAAACCAAAAAACGCCTGGGACTCCGAGTTTTTCGTTGGCTCGTGACCGGCGGCCCCGTGGGCCGTGGGGGGGGGCAGTGGGCCGCCAGCCACAAAAAAACATTGAACTTAGGTCGGGCAGGTCCCCCTACAGGCGGATTTTGGACGACAACAAAAAATCCAAAAATACACAGAAAGCATAATCAACAATACTAAAAAAAAATCGCCCCCGTACTATTTTTGGACTATTTTTGAACATTCCTCCTGTAGAGGGACATGCCCGACTTAACATTGAACGTATGAAATCTGGAAACCCCAGGCGCCGGTGTTTCTGTGTCTTTGCTACTGGTTGTTCTCTTCTTGGTCTCGTTGTTGGGCCGGTACCCCCCTGGTCCCTCGGCCATCTTGTACAGCTGCTGCATTCGTCTCGGAAGAGGCGGATCGGAGGGGGGAGAGATCCGCATTGCACTCTTACTGTGGTACGATTGAATTCCTATTGGAAAAGGAGGAAGGGCGGGGGAAGGAATTCGTATTGCCTTCTTGAAGAATTCTTATAGCATTCGGTTTGTACTCCCCATTCCCAGTTATCCTTCCCCCTCCCCCCCATGCTCCCTCCTCCTCCCTTTTCTCTCCTCCTCCCTCCTCCACATTGTATTGTATTGCGGTGCCTTGCCTTACATTGCGTTGTATTGCTTTGCGTTGCGTCGCATTGCTTTGAACTGGATTGTTTTACGCTGCATTGCATTGCATTGCACCCTGCTGCATCACATTATGTCGCATTTGCACTGCGTTCGGGCGTCGCCCAAGCCTTCGGCCCAGACAGGGCCCAAGAGTCGGAGGGAGCACGTTGTATGGCATTACGGTGCATCCTGCTGCATTGCACTACGTGACAACCGCATTGCATTCGGGCCCCGCCCAAGCCCTCGGCCTGGACGGGGCCCAACGGTCGGAGGAAGCGAGAGGGGGGGGGATTTCCTAGTGCATGTTCTATCGCATTCCTGTTGTAGGACACTTGTCTTCTGATTGGAGGAGGAAGGGAGGAAGAGGAGAAAGGGAGGGAGGGAAGGGGGAAGAATGCCCCTTGTATTCATAATGTAGCCCTACTGGAGGGGGGGAGAGGGGGAAGGAAGCTTGCGGTTCGGATTCACGTTGCATTCCGAGCGGAAGGGAAAGGAAGGGGGCGAGGACAACAGGGAGAGGGAGGAGTTTCTCTGGCATTACCCTTGTACTCCTCATGCACTCGACTTGGAGGAGCAAGGAGGAAAGGGCGGGTGGAGGACTCCGCAGCACATGCTTCTTGTATGCCGGCCGTGACACATGGAGGAGGGATGGAGCGCGGAGGGAGGATGCTTCATCATTGGTGATCCCCGTGCTGCGCTTCACGCAAGAGGAGGAGAAGGTGGACAGAAGACTCCCCCCGCTGCATTCCTGCCGTGCCCACTGTGCACTCCCGCGGGGTGGCACTGGCAGGGGCGCGGACGTGCTCGCCACACGCAGGAGGGCCCGCACGTCACGAGGGCCCCGGGGCCCGGCGGCCGCCCTCGAGGACGAGAGAGAGACTGCAGGGGAGGCCCATCCTCATCCCCTCTCCCCTCCTCCTCTCCCCTCCTCTCCCCTCCCCTCCTCTCCCCTCCTCCCCCCTCCTCCTCTCCCCTCTCCCCTCCTCCCCTCTCCCCTCTCCCCTCCTCCCCTCCTCCTCCCCTCCTCCCCTCTCCCCTCCTCCCCCCGTCCTCCAGCAGGGGAACAAAGAATGAAACCCCATTCGTCTTCGACCACGCGCTCGGCCCCCCCCCAATCTCAAAGTTGGCTTCGGCCTCCTGGAGGCCCGGCGGGTTCCACTTCCTGGTTGTCCTCTCACACCTGTGCTGCCGAATGCTTGGAGCCAACTTTGAAATTGGGGGGAGGGGGGGGGAGGGGGGAGGCGCGATGTCAAGGGTTTCACGTCTGTTGTCCGTCTACGAGAGGAGGGGAGGGCCATCCTCATTCCCATTTCCCCTCTCCCCTCCTCCCCCGTCCTCCCTCTTCCTCCCTTCTCTCCAGGGTCCCCATCGTTTGTTTCGTCTTCCCTCCTCCCCCGTCCTCCCCCGTCCTCCCTCTTCTCTTTAGGGTCACAAGCGTTAGCTTCGTACTCTTATCTAGTGTTTGCTTGCTTGTTGTTGATGATTCTATTATGTGGTTGGTGCCCCACTGGGACCTCGGTCATCTTCTTCACCTGCCACAAGAGGAACCCACCTGAGGCGAATTTCCTAAAAGGAGTTTCTACGGGGAGGTTTACTATAAAGGATTCCTCTGTGGCGGATTACAGAGACACAGAGAGAGAACACAAGAGAGAGAGAGATTCACATCTGTGCAACACTTACACGGGTGGGGGGCCGGCCCTTTTTCGACAGAGAGATTTCGCTGGACACCTCAACGAATCACATGATCATGCAGTCTCGCAGTCCGTATGGCGCGCCAGAGGGGATGCAACGAAACTTCCTTTTCAAAGCGACGGCCATCGCCAAAATAGCAGGCCCACCACATGTTCCTGGTCTTTCAAAAGGATATGCTCCTTGCAGTGAAAAGGAAGGCTTGCAGGGACTCATGAGGAGGGAACTCGGGACGGGAGTGTGAACTGCAGCATTACTGCTGCATCTTGAGTTGACTCTGGTCCTCCTCCTCCTCCTCCTCCTCCTCCGCCTCCTCCTCCTCCTCCTCCTCCTCCTCTTCCTCCTCCTCCCCCCCCCCTCCGGAAACCTCCGAAAAAGCACGCACCTGCACGGCGGTACGGCGCGGACAGCCGCGCGTCCCCGAAGGTGCACCCGCCGCCCGCGGAGCCGCCGCCGCTCGCGGGGCCCCAGGGGAGGCCCCACCCGCGCTGCTGGGGCAGGCGCACCGTCACCTTGCGGGCGGCTGGGGGCCCTCTGCCCTGTCGCCTCGTCCTTCGTTCCCCCTCCCCGTGCTCGCGCCCTCGTCGTCGTCGTCGTCGTCGTCGTCGTCGTCGTCGTCGTCGTCGTCGTCGTCGTCGTCGTCGTCGTCGTCGTCGTCGTCGTCGTCGTCGTCAGCGTCGTCGTCGTCGTCGACGCGTCGTCCTCCTCGTCGTCGTCGTCGTCGTCGTCGTCGTCGTCGTCGTCGTCGTCGTCGTCGTCGTCGTCGTCGTCGTCGTCGTCGTCGTCGTCGTCGTCGTCGTCGTCCTGCTCCTCCTCCTCCTACTTCTCCTCCTCCTCCACCTCCTCCTCCTCCTCCGAATCTTGCTGTGCATGGAATCGGCCACTTTGACCAAGCACTGGGCGGTACGGCTCGGGCATGCTGGAATGGGGGTCTGCGGTCTGATTTGGCTGGGCACCGGCAAAACCAGTCAGGAGGGGGAGCAGGGCAAATCCGGCATGCGATGT